CCTTGGACCGTGTAAGAATTAGCAAAGATAATCCAATAAATAGTCACTAACAGTCTGACAAACGGAAGACTCTTCAGGGTGGCTTCCGGGGACTTTTGTTGGGCAACTGCGGGCATGCGCGGGAGCCACTTCGCTCCAATGGCGCCCTCCCTTTCCCCGCGTCTGAGGCAACAGGTGCCTCCCGGGTCGCAGCAGGTCGGGTCAGCCCAGGGGCGTCAGGCAACAGGCATGTTTACAGTGTAAACTCTGAGGTGGGGTGAGAGCCAGTCTTCACAGCAGGGAGGACGTAAGTAATAGTCAAAGTGGCAGTTTAAAACAACAACAACAACTGCTCTGCAACCTGAGGGAAAAGAGCCTTGGCGATGTCACAACATCACACTGTGTTAGAAAGAAGCGGGCTGCTCTGTGGGGAGGTGTGGGAGGAAAGACGGGCCTTGCACAGGGCGCAGAGTCAGCACTGCCGATCCTGGTTCCTCTTAAAGCAAGCACATTATGAAAAAGCCAAAGACGGGGTCGGGGGTGGCAGGAGCCACGCAAACACTTTCATAACCCATGGGTCCGACTCAGAAACCTGTTAGGCCCAATTTCAGCCATGCAATTAAAGAATGCAGAGAATAAAAAGTGAATTGAGAAAATCAAGTACTAAACTGGTTGAAGTATTACGTATAAAAGATCACTCAACCTGGAGGAGGATGAGTTTAGCAACAGGCAGAGATCAACTGGAAAGGATGTTTTCATTTGCTGCTGCAAGTGACCTGGAAATAAACATTCCTGATGGCACAGAGACGTCTGGGATCTACCACAACAGCATCAGCTGCAGCCGGACGTTAGTGGCAGAGGGGGTGGGCACCAGCACTGAGCAGTCGGCAGGGGGGGCAGGCCGGCCCGCTGGGGATTGCATGGCTCGCGAGCTGTCAGGGCCAGCCGGTCACTTTTCACCAACTGGCTTTGAAAGGGTTTCGATTCGTTTCCACGACCGGCCCAGCAGTGCTGGTGCGGCTGCATGCCATGCGGGGCTGCTGGCCTGGTCCAGCCAACAGCACATGCCCCAACTCCCTGCCTGGCACTGCGGAGTGCACCTCACACCGGCTCTGGGTGGGCATCATTACTGTCCTCCCTTTACACACGAGGGCGGGTCAGTGAATCGCCCGAGTCCACTTTGCATGCTGAGATGTACTCCCAGGACCGCCAGGCAGCAAAACCTGGCAGCTTTCTCCTCTTCTGTGTCCCTTCCAAAGGCTACACAGCGGTGTGATATAAGATTAAAAAGGAAAATCAAGATAATAAACTGTAAATAACTTGGCTCTTGGGTGAAATTTTTCTTCCTTTTAAAATTCCCGAGTTTCAAAAGGAGAGATAGGTTGGTAGGGAAAATCATATGAGGAGACAGTTCCTAACCCCAAGGATTCTCAAATACTGGAAAGAGGAACTAAACATTTTTAAAAGTGTATTTGTGGGGGCCGGTGCTGTGGTGTAGCAGGTAAAGCCGCTGCTTACAGTTCCGGCATCCTATATGGCTACCAGTTCTAGTCTTGGCTGCTCCACTTCTGATCCAGCTCTCTGTTATAGCCTAGGAAAGCAGTAGAAGATGGCCCAAATGCTTGGGCCCCTGCACTCACATGGGAGACTCAGAAGAAGGAAGAAGCTCCTGCCTCCTGGCTCCAGATTGGTGCAGCTCCGGCCATTGTAGCCATCAGGGGAGCGAACCAACGGATGGAAGACCTCTCTCTCTCTCTCTGCCTCTCTGTAGCTCTGCCTTTCATTCTTTTTTTTTTTTTTAATATTTATTTATTTATTTATTTGAAAGGCAGAGTTTCACAGAGAGAGAAGGAGAGGCAGAAAGAGAGGTCTTCCATCCTCTGGTTCACTCCCCAAATGACTGCAACAGCCAGAGCTGAGCTGATCCAAAGCCAGGAGCCAGGAGCTTCTTCCAGGTCTCCCATGTGGGTACAGGGGCCCAAGGACTTGGGCCATCTTGTACTGTTTCCCAGACCATAGCAGAGAGCTGGATCGGAAGTGGAGCAGCTGGGACCAGAACCGGCGCCCATATGGGATGCCAGTGCTGCAGGCCATGGCTTTAACCCGCTGCACCACAGCACTGGCCCCAGCTCTACCTTTCAAATAAAATAATTAAATCTTTTTTTAAAAAAAAAGTGCATTTGTTCCCTCAGCAAACAACATACTTTTCATCTGGCTGAAATGATTCAACTATTGTTCTAACTGAATGAACAAAGTCACCTGTGATAGCCTTAATAGCACTAGGGATCTGCTATACACAGGTCAGACAAATCACAAAATATTATCAGCCTATAAGTTACATAGAAGGCAGACGGACCTGCTGAGTGAGCCCCGCCAGCCGGGAACCTGCCTTTCACAGAAAGACAGCAATTCCAGGCTGGCCGCTCCTTCTGGGCCTAATGGTATATGCTGCCGATGTTCTGCTACACACTCCCAGCCCATTTCCCCTACTAACATCTCATTTGAGCACCTTTGTCACAACTAATGGGCCACACCCAGCCTCCCGGCATCTTTTAATCCAAACTCCTTTTATCCCTCCCACCCCTCCTAGCCTCTAGTAATCAACATCCTGTGTTAAGAGTTGTTCTGGGGCCAGCGCTGTGGCGTAAGCGGGTAAAGCCACTGCCTGCAGTGCCAGCATCCCATATGGGAGCCAGTTCAAGTCCTGGCTGCTCCACTTCCGATCCAGCTCTCTGCTATGGCCTGGGAAAGCAGTAGCAGATGGCCCAAGTCCCTGGGCCCCTGCACCCGCATGGGGGATCCAGAAGAAGCTCCTAGCTCCTGGTTTCAGATCACCTCTGGACACTGTGGCTATTTAGGGAGTGAAACAGCAGATGGAAGTCTTTCTCTCTATCTCTGTCTCTGCCTCTCTCTAACTCTTTATCAAAATAAAACTAAAAAACCTAAAAAAAAAAAAAAAAAAAAGATTGAGTCGTTCTAGGGGCCAGTGCTGTGGTGTAGCAGGTAAAGCCACTGCCTGCAGTGTCCATATCCCACACGGGCACTGGTTTGAGTTCTGGCTGCTCTACTTCCAATCTAGCTCCCTGCTAGAACCCACACAGCAGACCTGGATGAAGCTCCTGGCTTTGGCTTGGCCCAGCCTTGGATGTGGGGAGTGAACTAGCAGATGGAAGATTCTCCCTCTCTCTCAAATTCAAAAGTTTTTTTGAACTTTAGTTCCCACATATAAGGGAGAGTATGTGGTATTATCTTTCTGTTTTTGGCTTATTTCACGCAACATGCTGTCCTCTAGTTCTATCCATTTTGCTGTAAATGATGGGATTTCATTCTTTCTTTATAGCTGAATATATATATATATATCATATTTTATTTATCCATTCAGCTGATGATGGACATCTTGGTTGATTTCAAATTCTGGCTATTGTGAACAGTGCTGCTATAAACATGGTGGTAAGCATTCTAGTTTTAAGCCAATGTCACTGTGCTGAAGGGCAGAGAGTTGTGGCTGTAGGCCCGGAAGCAGTAGTCATGGAGTGTACCTACTGGGGAAGGGAGATTGGGCTGGTCCATTTAGAACTTCCACATGGCTTTACTCGGACCTGGGCCAAGAGCAACAGTGAAATAAGGAACCCTGGGAAAGCACCATGACTTCCAGAGGACACCTTAGCCCTGGGTTGGTTTCTATATCATCTGCTGGGATCTAGTGATTCTTTAGGTCCCCTGGGGGAAAACAGGATAAACACAAATGACAATCAGCACTTCCTAGAAATTGGCTGATCTTTAATGCGGAAAGGGAAGGAACCCACTGTACCTATGGGCAGGCAGTTCCACGACGTCATGAATGTCCCTGTCCAGGTGATGGCTGCAGAACCCACTCTACCACTCCCACCACCGTCTGGACACTGTAAAGCACTTTGGTAGGTCTGACCTGAGAAACTCCCTGCTTGGAAACAATACCTGAGAACTTCATTATTACCTGCAAACAACGTGTTTAGGACTCCGAATGTTACATGAACAGTATTTGCTTGGGGCAGAGGGGACAATCAGCACAGCAGTTATGATGCTGACATCCACATCTGGGCTCCTAGTTCAAGCACAGGCTTCACGTTTGATTCCAGCTTCCTGATAATGGGCACCCTGGGGGCAGCAGATGGCGATCAAGTACTCCAGTCCTTGCAACCCACGTGGGAGACCTGGATGGAGTTTTGGCTTTTGCCTTGCCCAGCCCAGCTGTTGCAGGCATTTGGGGAGTGAATAGCAGACAGATTTCTCTCCCTCTCTCGGCCTTTCAAATAAAATGAAAATGATTTTTTTAAAAATCACTTTTGCATTCATACTAAATAAAAAATCATACAAATCCCCATATTCCCTTCCCACCAATAACTATCCACTTCAACGAACATACACACATCTCCTTCACCCCCCTTTATTGTTCTGCCTTGCAGTCAGGTTAATATGACCTCCTTGGAGCCAGTTCTCTTCGTACTTGTTCAGGTTGCTAAATAGATATTAAAAAGTGCGTTGAGGAGTTGGCGCTGTGGTGTAAAGGGTAAAGCCACCGCCTGCAGTGCCGGCATTCCATATGGGTGCCAGTTCGAGTCCTGGCTGCCCCACTTCCGATCCAGCTCTCTGCTACGGCCCAGGAAAGCTGTAGAAGTTGGCCTAAATCCTTGGGCCCCTGTACCCATGTGGGAGACCTGAAGGAAGCTCCTGGCTCCTGGCTTAGGATCAGCACAGCTCTGGCCGCTGCGGCCAACTGGAGAGTGAACCAGTGGATGGAAGACCTCTCTCTCTCTTCCTCTCCTTCTCTCTCTGTATAACTCTGACTTTCAAGTAAAATAAATAAATCTTTAAAAAAAAAGACTTCTATTAAAAAAAGTGTGTTGAGTATAACAGTCTGGAAAAAGTTAAGATGGCTGGAAGAGGGTTTGAATGAACTATTGGAGCCATCATGTCTACAGAAGGGAGACCGCGTCCCTCTCGATCTGTAATTTAGTCCAAACACAAGCTATTGATCTCACCTTCGATACAGCTTGGACTGTTGAAAAGTCATAATTACCAGTGGCACGTGGAAGGTAGTCAACACTAGAATGACCTGGAGGGAGACAAAAGCATTCCATCAACAAGAAAGCTCCTCCAGGCACAGGCTGGTGCGCAGCAGATCTGGAATATTCCTTAAACCAAGAAGGACCAAGTTACTGGCACTTACGACAATTCGATCAGCCCTCAACTCACTGTGCTGGGAGGTCCCCATCAGCTACACTTGAAGCTGGAGACAGAGGTACTCAAATATACATTACAATCAAGGACGGACTTAACCATGTTATTTCCCTATTACAGGAAGATTATTCTAGCCAGAGCCACTTCTTTTTTCAGTTCAGAGACCAGAACAGCAATAGCATGGGTGTTCTTAGAGGTCAGAGTATCACATATATTTGTGACACATGTTCTTCATATGTGTGACACATGTTCTTCATATGTGTGGCACATGTTCTCCATACATGTGACACATAGTCTCCATACATGCTACACATGCTCTTCATATGGGTGGCACACGGTCTCTCTGTGTGACATATGGTTTCCATGCACATGACACATGCTCTTAATGTGTGATACATAGTCTGCATATGTGAGACATGCTCTTTATACATGTGTATCATGTTCATGCATGTGATAATGTTCATTCATGTGATATAAAGTTTTTGTACATGTGATATGTTCTTCATGCAAGTGATATGTTCCTCATGTATGTGGTATACTGTTCTTCGTGTGTGACAGTGTTCTTCATACGTGTGGTATCATGTTCTTTCTGTTGTCAGTTCTCCATGAAATGTATTTTTTAAATAATTATTTTTCTATAAAAAATATGCATTAGACAAGATTCTGGATTAGTACAAGAGCCTAGGGACTCTCAAAAAGCCACATAATGAGAAATCTTGGAGACAGGAACTATCTTAGACTAATGGGTAAATAATAGAAATTAGGATTCAATTCAAATTTTGGAGGAAACTGTGGTGTGCTTAATGAAATTCTACTGGGAGTTTAAAACTTAATTAAAACAAGAAACAATTTTCTTTTCAGAACACAAAATTATTTAGGCTTCAGATAGAGCTATCATGTACCTCAAAGTGTGACCCATGCATTATGGAATACTAGGGGCAAGGGTGTGGTCTGTCCCTGCTCAGGCAGGACAGTAATAACAAGCCCTGAATTAGACCTGAGGCCAATGCATCCCCAGCAATGCATCCCCCCACAGGCAGCCACTGTTTACTGGGAGGGAGAAGGAGCTGCCAGACTTTCCTTCCATTCTCCCAATCCTGGCAGGACCTCCTCTGGGGTGGGGACAGCAAATGGGCTTGAACCACCATGAGCCCTGGGTGCCTCAGTCCTTGAATGAGACTGGGGGAAAGGATATAGGGAGAGCACTATGGGGTGGGTGGGGACGTCAAGATGTGGACCGTGCTCTTTCCTGCTTCTACGAAGGGTGAGGCTGTGAGGCTCTCTCCCAGCACAGGACACTCTGCCTGCCTGCTCACCCTGATCCTGAGCAGCCTCCAAGGACTACCACGTTTCTCCCAAGTGTGCAGGGGGTGGTGTCAGGCCACTCCAGGCTGTGAAGCGAAACCAAGCCAACTAGACTTCCTTCCTGAAGTCTGTCCTGCCGGCATGCGTTTTCTGCCACTGAGGTTTAAGACCGCCTCCGAGAGTAATGGTGTTGAGAGCTCAAAGCCCCTGGGGTCTACGTCACCTTGCTGGGCTGAAATCACAGACTCAAAATAGTACTCACCCCAGTGCTGTCTCCAACCCAGGACAAGGACACTGAGCCGCTGAGATCATCAAAGACATGCTACAAAGGAAGAGAAAACGAAATTCACTCAGAAATGACATCTACTCTCCTTCAATCCTTGGCCTCCTTAAATCAGAACTTTGTCACTATGACAAGGAATTAAGTTCATAACCACAAAGGGACAGGGTTTCACTACCTAACCTGAATCATAAATAACTTGGAGGTTTGGATTCTCCCTCCTGCAAAAGCAAGCCACACAGATGCGTTCACCTCATTGCATTAGACGGGGCGACGGGACAAGCCACTGGCTTTCTCCAACAGAACTAACAAGGAGCAAAGTACTCCCAGGATGCTGTAGAGTGAGAAGGCAGGGCCACGCTGCCAGAGGCAACTGTATCGGCTCTGCACAGTTAGCTGAATAGTTAGGAGCTGAATAGAGTAGGTAAGAGTTGGGATCCTTTTGCTTCTAGGTTAACTCACTCAAAATGACAAGGGGCAGAAGTAAGAAGCAAATACCCTTATTCTATCTTCTTACTCAATAATAACAGCAATGGTAATAATGACGACAGAACCTTCCTAGAGTGGGGGTGGTTGCAGGGTGACAAAAAAGAGAAAGCCAGTATGCTGTGTCCAAAATATGGCAAGCTTGCTAAGACACAGGTATAATAATCATTATTGGTACTTCTGGGTTTTGTTTTTCAAATATGTCATTTTTCTATGAAATAGTATACATTTATTACAGAAAATGTAGATGATTACAAAAGGTATAATAAAATTTAAGTCATTTATATCTTACTACACATGGATATTCCAGGTTAACATTATATCTACAATCTTTTAATCTATCTTTCTAAAAAGATTTATTTATTTGAGAGGCCGAGTTACAGAGAGAGAGAAAGAGAGAGAGAGAGATATCTTCCATCTGCTGGTTCACTCTTCAAATGGCCACAATGGCTGGAGCTGGGCTGTCCCGAAGCCAGGAGCCAGGAGCTTCTTCCAGGTCTCCCAGGTGGGTGCAGCGGCCCAAGCACTTGGGCCATCTTCCACTGCTATCCCAGGTCACTAGCAGGGAGCCAGATCAGAAGTAGAGCAGCCGGGACTCAAACTGGTGCCCATTTGAGATGCTGGCACTGCCCATAGTGGTTTAATCCATTCCGCCACAACACCCCCGCTTTTTCCCAGAAGAATTGTGGGGCTGATGTTGTGGCGTAGTCATTTAAGCTACCACCTGCGAGGCCAGCATCCCATACAGACACTGGCTTGAGACCCGCTTGCTCCACATCCCATCTGGCTCCCTGCTATTGTGCCTGGGAAAGGAGAGGAAGATGGCCCAAGTCCACGGTGCAGGGGTCCAAGAAAAAGCTGCTGGCTCCTGGCTTTGGTGTGGCCCAGCCCTGGCTATTGCAGTCATTTGGGGAATGAACCAGCGGGTGGAAGATCTCTCTCTCTTTCTGTTTCTCCCTCTCTCTCTCCGTAACTCTGGCTTTCAAATAAATAAATCTATTAAAAAAAAGATTTGCATCTCACTAAGATTTTTAAAAACTTTAAATGTGTCCTTCCTTCCCAAATATGGGAAGTTCCTGAGCAGCAGAGAGCATAACTTTGTATTTCTTGTTACTGCCTGTGCCTACCACAGGGATGCTTTGCACTCTCAATTAGCAGTTGTTGAAAATGATTATATATCCTTCCCAAACCACAAACTCAGTCCCAAAATAGAACACGCCTGCAAATGGTGGGCTGCCAGCTACTTGGTCACTCAAACCACCACTCCCAACAGCGAAGTCTGAAGAAAACAGAAAGTTAGAACACATGCTCTTTGGCTTCTCTCCCAGTTTTCACTCGCAGGCCTCCTGAGCGGGCCTCTGAATTCACTGCTGCCATTTCCCTCCGGACCCTGAGTGCCTTGGAGGGTGAAAGCCTCTCTCGCACAGTCTCTGGGAGTAGCATCATTAGCGATGCACACAGGGCTGGCTCAGCGAGTGCCCAGGCAGGGTTTCCTCCGGGGCTGCCAGAGACACCTGGAGCCACCAGCTGAAAGGTGGACACAGCAGTGTGTCTCATAGGGTGCTCTACCCAGAGCCAGGCCGCGTGTCCTTCTGAGTAAAGCTACGGGGCCTGCAGTTCCATCAGCAACTTCCTTGGTGAGCCCCAGCAACACCCAAAGCTACTACCACAGCACCAGACAGATCATGGGGGCTGACAGTCATCTAACACAGGTGATCTTCCCCAAGACAGTTGTCACAACTAACTAGGATAAACGAAAAATACTATCCGCTGGGGCTGGCGTTGTGGCGCAGTGAGTTAAGCTGCTGCCTGCCACACCAGTATCCTAGCTGCTCTGCTTCCGATCCAGTTCCCTGCTGAAGCACCTGGGAAAGCAGCAGAGGATGGCCCGAGTGCTTGTGTCCCTGCCACCCACATGGGAGACCCAGATGGAATTCCTGGCTCCTGGCTTCCACCTGGCCCAGCCCACCTGGGGAGTGAGCCAGCGGATAGAAGATGAATCAATCTCTCCCTCTCTCTCTCAACTCCTGTTTGTCTTGATCAGGCTATAGCATAGCCAAGGTTTGAGCCACTCAGGCACTGGACAGTGGGGATTGACATCACCGTGCTTCGCTCAGATACAAGCGAGGGGGGTCACTGGATGTCACCAGCCACCTGCAGTCTTATCTAAACACCATCCAAAGAGTTCCTTTGGGAACGAAGGCCAGATTTATTATAACTAGTTTTCTGCTATCCTGTACCCTCCCTTCCCACATCCTGTTTTTTTTTAATTAATTAATTTATTTAAAAGGAAAGTTACAGAGAGGCAGAGAGAGAGAGAGAGAGAGAGAGAGATAAAGATAGATCTTCCATCCTCTGGTTCACTCTCCAAATAGCTGCAATGGCTGGAGCTGGGTTGATCCAAAGCCAGGAGCCAGGAGCTTCTTCTTGGTCTCCCATGCAGGTGCAGGGGCCCAAGGACTTGGGCCATCTTCCACTGATTTCCCAGGCCATAGCAGAGAGCTAGATGGGAAGTGGAGCAGCCAGGACTCAAAAAAACCAGCACCCATATGGGATGCCAGCACCACAGGCAGCAGTTTCCATTGCTACACCACAGCACCAGCCCCCACCTCCTTCTAATAATCAATGAACATCCTGCTCCTGAAAATACGCAAATTCATTGAAAAATTCATCCACCTTCAGAAAAATCTAACAAATTTATTATGTTTTAGTCTCTGACATTCTTGACTGGTAGAAAGTTGAAAAGGAGAAGTGAAATCCCATCTGGGAGCAGACTACAGCATCAGTGGAAAGATATGGTCACGTGCAAAGGACACAAATCCAGAAGAGCCGTGGGACGGAATGCACGGATTCAATCTGCCCCCTTCCGTGGGAGATGGAACACCACGTCTGGGAAACAGCGGACGCCTGGTCATGGTTGGAAGGGTTCACAGTGGCAGCACAGGCCATCAGTTCTAATGCCGAAACACTCATCACACTTAACATGATGCGTGTGCCACTGAGCACGCTGTGGGGCATCTCAGATCTTTCCAACTGTGCATTACTGTTACTTATGGCAACAAGAACCTTTGTCCTCCTCTCCAGACCTGACGCCCACCTGAGGCAGGGATCAAGCCTACACATTTAGCTTCACACACGCTGTAGCACAGCCCTTGGTGCACACTCAAGGCACCCTGAATCCGTTTTCTTTAGAAGCTTCTTGTGAAGCTCTGGACAGGAGGAGGGTAAAATGAAACGCTAAGGCCAGACCCACTTCACGTGCCCACGACGGAAATGCAGGTGAAATGGGAAAGTTCTGTTCTGGCTCAGACTCACCCCGACCTGCAAGCACCCCAAGAAGGTACGAGGCAACAGGCTGTGAGATGGCGGAGCACCGGGCAGGGAAGGACAATGAGCCCTGGACGAAGAAAGCAACAAGAGGCCTCTGCCCCACAGCCTGTTGCTAGAGAGAATTTCCAGGCCAGCGCAGGGTGCGGGGGCCAGGCAGGGCCCTGTGGCCTCCTGAAGCTGGCAGTCTGGGGAAGCCAAAGAGGCTAGGCTTCACAGGGCAGAAGGCCAGAGAGAGCCGCACAGAATGAGAACTCAGGAAATACAGAGAGGAGGTGTCATGGTTTGAGTGTGTTCCCCAAAAGTTCCTGTATTGAAAAATTAACCCTCCAATTCAGGTGGGTGGTATGGGGGGGCCTTTGGGAGGTGATTAGGATGAGATGTGGTCATGAGGACAGGGCCCCGTAACGGCATCAGTGACTGTATAAAGACAGGGAGAGGGGCCTGAGCAAGCTCACTTCCTGTTTCACCACGCAATGCCCATTGCCATGCTGCAATGCAGTGGAGTCATGGTTTTGTAGCTGCCAGTCTCAGAGCCACGAGCAAAATAACCCATATTGTTTATGAATTACCCAGTCTGTGGCATGTGGTTATAGCCTCAGACAGCAGGCTCACCCCTCCCACCAAGTCCTCAGCTGAATACGGACCAGCACGTGCATGCGGGGAAACTCCCTGAGGCCAGGAAGGAATCCCTCAGAGGACGGGCAGGAACAAGACCTGGACCTCCTGCAGGGCCAGCAACCACTCCTGCCCTCAGTGACCACGGCGGAAAACCTCATATTTGAAGGACATTCGGTGGAGTATTCAGAAAAGTAGTGGGGGGAGAAATGAACCCTAGATTAAATGCTATTCTGATTCTGCCAAATAAATAAATAAAGGCAAGATCAAAAAGGAAAAAAGTATTTTTAAATAAACTGTGCCTCAGAACAAAGTTCAAGACTATTTGTCAGAATACAAAAGTATCCAGCACCCAACAAGATAAAATCCATCCAACTACCCATGGAAAAAAGGCTCCAAAGGGGAAAGTCACCTGCACTGACCCACAGATCATCCAACTGGGGGACAAGGACAATAAGGCACTCACAACTGTACTCCACATGTTCAAGAAGTCAGAGAACAGATCGAGTATATTAAACACTGACAGAAAATTAAAAAGATCCTAACTGAACTTGTAGAAATAAGAATTATAATGTCTGGGGCCGGCACTGTGGTGCAGCGGGTTAAAGCCC